GGCCAGCAGAGGGGCGGCGGGCGCGGGGGAAGGCGGCGCGGTGGCCAATAAAGCGGCCCCAGGTGAGGCGGACAGAAGGCCTGGGCCTGTGGCAGGGCCAGCAGTGAAGCCCATTAGAGCTGCAAGAGGTCAGGCTCGGTAAGCAGATGGAAAACGTTGAAAAACACCTCCAGAAATTGCAGTGCAAGGTAATAATTTATATCCTAAAAAGAAATACAAAAAGCTGAGGAATGGGACTGTGCAGCTAAGGCTTAAAATCTGTAGGAAATATGACCCGCCCAGTTTGGCCCAGCCTCTGTGCAGGCGGGTCCTGTGGGCAAGAGAAGCCATGATCCAGGAGCCCTGAGGCCGACGCACAGCATGTGGAATCCAGTCTCCACGCGGGCAACTCCTTTCCTTCGCGATCTCCGAGGTGGCGGTTCACAGGCGGGCAGGACTCCGACCCGCTTTCCCATTCCGAGGGCAGTGCGTTCCACTCCACTGTCCACATAGAAACCAGGTCTGCTTTGAAGTTTTACAACCCACAGGTTAAGACAACTTACAGAAAAGCGAAATAGAGGGCGACACCGAAAACATGGTAGTTACAGAGAAGTTACATGCTGCCCTGTGTACATAAGGTAACAACAAAGTGTGGGCGGAGCATTTGTCAATCAATCAAGAATCTACAAGGTTAAAATGAGGGGGAAGAGATACAAGAAAAATACGTTCACCTGGCAAACTGCGAAATTAGGGAAGAGCCGGAAAAAAGTTTATACATTGCACCTGACAAAGTGCAAAATGGCGGGAAGAGTTGCAGAGAAAAGGTCATGCTGTCCTAACCCCAAGCTGGGGCGGAAGGGGCAGCAGGATGGACAGGAGATGCAGAAGGAACCGCCTAGTGCTGAGTGAGCGATGACAGCAGACTTGACTGGAAGCGAGTGCAAGGTGCAGGCCAGGCCTTCAGCAAGGGGGGCTTCCCAGCAAAGCAGCCTGTCAGTCAGAGACCCCTCATTCCAGCCCAGAGCAGAGGCTGGCATTCAGTGTCACGGAGGAGGGATGCCGGGAGGGCTGCCAGGAATCACTGAGTGACATCTGACCAACGGGCAAAGAAGGGTTGATAACCACTTGAGAGGACTCAGTGTCCCAGGAGGATTAGCATAGACTGGCCCGGAACGCCTGCGTGAGAGCAGTTAAAGGGCAAGTCCACGGTGCCCTTGGGACCTGTGCTTTCCAGCAGCCTCCCTCGGGGAAATGAAAGTAGGGAATCCTAAATTCAAGAAATAATCTCAGTTAGTGGTGAGTACTAATGGTAATTTTTTACAACCATTTATCAAATTCATTCGTCTGCATTTAGTGAGCAATGAATGTGTCAAGAAATGTTCAAGGTTCTAGAAATACTAATAGAAATAAAATTATGAGGGAGACACATGCCTTGTGGTAAGGACTTGGGTAATTACGAATGTAGGACTCAGAGGAGGGAGAGGAAGGAGTGGTGGTCCTGAGGGCCTTGAGGAAGCAGCGTGCTCAGGGGTGTCTTGAAGAGAGTAGAAACCCCCCAGTGGGCCAGAAAGGAAGGCCGTTCCATGTCCGCACGATGGAGGGGTAGACACACCAGCGGTGCCTGGACCACACAGATGCTCTGTCAGCATGGAGACCAAGGTGTGGACAGCCAGGACGAGGGCACAGGGTGCACAGGTGTGTAGAGTCCCCGGCGCCCCTTCAGGCCTGCGACTTCTCCCTACAGCAAGCGTGTCTAACTTGCGGCTCACAGGCTGTATGCAGCCCACAACGAATATTTTTGCGGCCCAGCCAATATAACGGCATGTAAGAAACGTTTTAATTAAAATTTCATAACTTAATTTTTACAATACATAATTATTAATAATGAACTACAACGTTCACTAATGACTGGTTACTATCATCATGTTGCATTCATTTCCCTACACGCCTTATGGGCAGGCGCACCATTTCTCTCCACTAATACTGGCAGTGAATATTTTAGCAGTCATTAGTCTTGGACTGACTTGTTTGGTGTGCGCAACAGGAAACATTCCACTTTCAGAGAACAAGAAAAATAGGTTTATTTGTGTTACGCTTATTAATTTGTGCAGTTATTCAGTGTCTGGTAAGTTAATGTTCAAGAAAAAAATATTAATTTTTATTAAAATGTTCTGTTATTTTATGTGAACGATGACTCATTTGTGTCAGCCCTTTGTATTCAGCATGTCCCTATCGGAATAAACCTACGTTTCTATGGAAATCGAAGCTTTTGTTTGTTTGTGGCCACAGACACTTACACCTTGTTCGTTGGGCCCCTGGTAACCTTGGAGTGTGACTTGCTTGCCCCACAAGGATTCTTGGGAGGCGACCAATGACTCGGCACCACCTTTGCTGTGTGTTTGCCAACTCTGGAAAGAGTGCCTTCTAGAAGCTGTCCCATGTTTCACTTCCTGTCATATCTACTGTCTTTGTAGACCTCCCATCTGTGCTAGTCCAGAAGCCTGATGCTCCCCCCGCCCCCCGGGACTCGGCTGGTACCTGTGCAAAGGGAACCCCTGTCGGTGTCCTCCCGTCTCTGGGTTGTTAGTCCGTCTTGTGTTCTCGGGGCAGAATGAGGAAGCTCCTTGGATCTCAGTGGCGGAGCTTCTCTGTGGCTGACCTTGGAGAAGGACTCGCTGCCCAGCACAGTCAACTACCAGGTTGACCATCGCCTGCCCTTCAGAGGCTAATGGATTCTCTCAGCTCCGAGCTCTGCCCCGTGTGTGTACTCTCCCTTTCTTCTCACAACTTGCACAACCAAAGGTGACTCTCAGAACTCCAGGTGAGTGGCATGTCGGGAAGTGGAGGAATTGTAACGACTTCATTTTGGAGGGAAATAATATTACAATTGTCATTGGACCAGATTTCGTAATAAAATAGAGCCTTGGAGATGAGGGCCACAGCTTGGAAGTCACATAAACGTTTTTCCTCTACCACCTCCATTTCGGACCTCGCCCCTGCTAGCACCACTAGAGCTGGCGGTGTCATCGGAAAGCCGGCGCACGTTGGAATAGCCTGAGCCGCGGGCGTCTCGCAGTCTGCACGGAGCAGGGCTGCACACAGTGGACCGTCACCTGGAGCCTTCGTGTAAGGGGGCTCCCCTGGGGTCTTGTCAGGAATGCTGACTCCCTGGCCCCCCGGGACTGGGGCCCCACACACAGGTGAGAGGTGGAAGGGGGCTGTCCTCGCCACCTTGACGATGGTACACTTTGCTGGTGTCCTTCCTGGACTGACGCTCTTTGCACCTCCATATTTGAGTGTCACTCAAATATTTGACTTTCTGCTCATTTACTTGCCCATCCATCACTCCCTGGACACCCACTGGTGTGAAAGGCCAAGTGCTGCACAGGAAGACGGGACGCGTGCAGTAAGGTACCGCCCACCACGTCAGTTTGCTTAGGGTCGAAGACAGAGAATGAAGTCTTGGACTTTAAACTTGTTTCCATCAACTTGAACTTACCATCAACATAAACGAAGAGCTGGCAGGAAAAACACAGAGAAAGGTTTTAGCAAAGTGAGTGAACAGCAATGGCTCCAGCGCCTCCAGTTTCCTCATCATGGGGCCGAGGTCTGAGGTGGCCGGGGAGCCTGAGGGCCCAGCTCGTGAGAGGAGAGAAGGAACTGTGGGCGCATCGCCTCACCCTGTCAGGCTGGGGGCCCCTGTCAGTGCCCA